TTTAGTAGGAGATGTGTATTTAAAATATATTAAGTAGAAATTTAAATTCACTTGTCAAGTAAATAGTGTACAAATGTGTTGCAGCCAAAAACGATTAATTTGCTAGCTAAAATTGGTGCATGAACTGAACACAGCTCCCTGTAATTGTGCACTGCTCAAAGCTTTATCCTCATCATGGGGGAGATCTAACCTTAATAGTATTTTATTATGTTAATGACTTCTTGGGATCACAACAGCAGCCACAGAGAGGAATAATGGTGATAAGATTATCCCAATGCCTAATTGTGATTTTTTAAAAATAATTGAAATAAGATGACCTTTGCATAGTAGTTCTATACAATGTCTATATTAGTATATTAGTATAAATCCATGCCAGATAAATCAGAATGTTTTTAAGTGGGGCAAATAGTGAATATTGACTTTGAATTGAGTCCTTTAGGTGGGAGAATGGAAGTCAAAACCATAACGTTCCCTTTTAAGAAAAAGGCAACCATGTTATATAAAGTATTACTGAAATAATTTGAAACAAAATATAATCCAAAATACCAAATATTTAATATCCTTATTGAAATCAAGTTAAACTTAATTCACCATGTTTGAGAGTTTGTAGCAGCACACTTGAAAAACTCATGGGATACACTAACATTGAGGTAATTATTTTTTAGAAAGAGCTTAAAAATCATGACAGACTTAGATACTAAGTCCACAGTCAGGTTTGCTGGAGTAGATGATGATGGCTTGGAACATACATTTTAAAAGAAAGCTTACATTTGTCTGCATGTGCATTTGTATTCTGATGAAAACCTACTGAGTTGTTTCATTGCAGAATATATCTCTGTATCTGTTTTGTCTGCAGAGCTGTGGGAAGGCTGAAGCTGAAGCCGGGGAAACAGCAGCAGCAGCAGTGCGCACACAACACGAGGCCACCTGGCTTCCTGCCCTGATACATGACATTCAATTATTTTAGTGCTTTTTCATGAGAGTTTCACTCTGCTAGCTTCCCCTCCCCTCTCTAGATCATAGCTTTCCTACATTTGGCATAGTTTGCCTGATTCAGCATGCATTTTTCCTAGCGTTCCTTATAATTAGCCTCAAACTCTTAACTGCAAAAATAAAGTGCTAACAGTAACATTCTTGGAATCCCATCTTGACATTCCCACTATTATTATACAAGTGTGACATTTCTTTCAATAAGTTGAGGAAGAAAGGAACTAGAGTGGCCTACACATTGCGTCTACTGCTGCTTTGATGTATGCACAGAGGAACATTTTTTCATTTCCCAAAATATATTGACACTAGGGGAGGGGGCATTAAAGGCAGCTTTTGCCCTGAGTCAGACTCGGCTGCCTTAGACTGACAAACCACTCTCACAACTCTACTTCCTAACAAAACATTACCTTTTGGGAGGAGAGTGTCACACAGTGACATTTTGGTGGACATTTTCAAGTGTCTTGAATTTGTTAATTACTTCCATTCTAGACCTTAAGACAAGATGAATAAAACCTCTTAGTCATCTAACGTACCATATTGGGGGTGAGGTGCTGCCCCCTAACACAAACATACTGGTTACAGAAATAATTCTAGATGTAACTTCAAACGGAGGCATCCATTCTGGCTAAACAGCCTCTCCCTACTGCTGATGCGCAGTGGTGCCAGAGGAATGACCCAGCTACTAAAGAAGAGTTAAAGCTGCAACAAGTCTGGTCAGACCTTGTCCTTGTGCTTTCTGACTCTTCACATTCCTTTCTGACATCCTCAGCAGGCACTAATGCTTCATTCCCATCAAAGGGATTCGAGGAAGAATCCATGGCTACACAGAGTTCTGGATGTGTGGAAATCCAAAGATGTCTGAAATGTAGGGGAGCTCTGATAGAAACCAAGAATCCCAAACCTTAGTCTCTCTACGTCAACTCTCTTGCCACTTACACCACCTCCTGCAAGTGTTGGTGCCCTTCAAGAAAATTTAGATGGAAAGGGGACATACGAGAAAGGAGGCATCGCAGCTTCCTTCAGACAGATTTGACTGACCTAAAAGAAAGGGTGCCGACTCCTGAATTTAGACACCTCCCACCCCCAGTACAGAAAAATGTGAGCAATATTCAGCCAAGTGAAATAGGAAGGTAAAGAGGGGAACAGAAACTGAGGGCAAGGAGCTGTGCCTGCCCAGTAGAATCCTAACTAAAACCTTATTAAATAAATTGGGTAGTTCTTGTGCCGTAGAACAGTTGCCCTGGGGACCTGAGCCTAGCAGACAGGTTCAAATCCAGAAAGGTTGGGAGTGGGAGAAAGAATCAGAGGCAGCTTTTAAAAGCCTGCTGAGATGATAGGGTCTGCTGAAGGAGTTTATCGGAGTGCTATGGTTGATTTGCAGGAAGGTTGTCCACATAACGTTAGACAGAAAAAAGGCAGGTACATCTCAGTGAATGTGAGGATGATCCCTTGTCTGATTTCTCCTGCCTTCTTATAACTGCCAGCAACCACTTAATTACTATTACTTTAATTACTATTATTTTCAGTTAGTGGTATGCGCCAATGACGAGATCTGTGTCATTGCCATAAACTCCATCTCAAACTCTCAATATCCATTTAATGCAGCTTTTGGCAACCAAAGACCCAGCTTCTTGCCAAAAAGTGCAGATTAAGGATTTGTTATGGGAGTCTGCCATGAGCTGTTCCCTCTGTCAAGGGCACATGTGGTTACATGTCACAAAACACCAGGGATTCCGTGTAATAGATTTGCATGTCCAGCAGCGCTAGGGATATTCAGTGGAGTTGGTGACACTTGCACCCCATTCCTCCAACCACTGCCATGAAAAGTTGGTTTGGGTAATGGAGTGGAAACTGGTTGTTCTTGCTTCCTTTTAGGTTCTTCTAAAAGTCAGACTTCTATTGGTAAACAAGCACAATAGCGTTTTTGCATCATATGTCTTCCATTTAAAAGACACCGAATGTTTTTCAGAGAAGTTAGGGCTGTTAAGACACATATTTATAAACAAGCTTAGGGAGCTCTACAGCCCAAAGGTTACTAGGACTTGTTTGTATCTTTCCTCAAGTCAACAGTAAGCATTGTTGTTGCTGTTGTGAGGTTTTGAAAATCCTATTAAACTCACCCCAAACCAACCTCCCCCCCCCTTGAGCAACAGTGCAGTAAAGTTTAGTACAAGGAGAGGTGGGGGAATGAGGAGGAGATTCAGAAATCACCCACCCATCCAAAAATGAGAGCCTATGGTGATACTCAAAGTTCCACTGGAGCTTCCAAGGATTGGACAGAAAGTGCCCAGGAAGCCCATACCTGTCCCTCCTCAAGCAAGGTCGGAGTGCAACACTAGGACACTCCAGAGTGCACTTTCTTGGTTACCTCACCCAGCTCCACCATCCCAGTCAGGAGGACGCCTGGCTGGGGACTGGGGCTCCAATACAGCCGGGCTTTCTGGTGCACTCTTCGTAGACAGTTGAGGCTAACACTGCGTGGTTGATATTGGCTATCTGGCCCCAACAGTAGTACTAACACCGCCTCTGAAGCTACTACATCTCAGAAATAGAGTCAGATTTGAGTGTGTGCTCCAGGCCGTGCTGAAGGCAGCACCCATACCTATCCTTGGGTGGCTAGGGACTGTCTTGGGTACTCCACTGGTCGCACCCCGTGGGCTGCGACTACGCACCCACCCGCCTTTTAACCCTAACCTGGTTCCCTGGATTAGGGTCAGTCCCACTTTTTAGGGCAATGTCGAGAGGCAGGTCCAGGGTGTGCAGCGGTCTGTAATTTTACCTTCGGGCTCTGACCTGGCAGGGCTTGGAAGTAGATGTCAGTAGCAAAGCATCCATCAGCCAAGACCCCGGAGGGGATGGAAATTTCCAAACCCACTCGGATACAGTCCAGAGATGGACTTGGCCACTCTGTCCCAAGAGTCAGGGCTGAGGGGGAAGCCCGAGGACGCTGCGTAAAATGCTAGGCTGGCTTGGGGAAGCTAAAGGACTGCTCACAGCGCCAGTGGTGTCTTGATCCAGGGGCAGAGACCCTCCTTGTCCACGGCTTCTGCGAGGTTTTCCATCAGATTGGCAGGCTTAAGGCTTCTATTCCAAGTGACTGACTTTTCGGAAGCTGGAATCGGGCTCAAAGCACCGTCCTACCCGCCACCTCCCATCCCCCAGCCCCTTGGAGAGAAAGGGTGACCCTGGTCCTGCGGATGCCTGGGACGGGGCCCGCATCCAAGAACGCACTCGCTCTCCGCACTTGCAAAGTAACCACGTTAAGGCTTTTTTAAAAAAGCAAAAATAGTACATATATTTCAAAAACGCTAAAAGTCTTCCTCCTACTCCTCTTCACAAAAACCCTATGTGCAGTCGTCTTTTCTCTGATGTGGACCAGAGACCCTTTGGTGCCAAGGGGGTCGGGGACACCCAGCTCCCACAGCACCGAAGCCGAAGTGGCCTTTCCCAATTAAGGGCTCGCCAAGTATCTGGGCTCCTCGGTTTTCGGATTAGCGTGAATCCTCCACGTAAATATCTGATGGATGAGATACAGACCTTTAGAGCGATCTTCCAAGTTCTTAAGCTCCCTCTGAATCTCGGGTAGTGAGTGGCCGGCGCGGGGGCGGGGTGGGGACTAGGTGGGGTGGGGGGTGGCCTGGCGGGTGGCCCGGGAGCGCTTAGAGCGCGGAGAGCGGAGGGTTAACTTGCTTCGCGATCACACCGAGCGCCTCCGAAATGCCAGTCCCCTGTCGTCGCAGCTACAGTGTGTCTGGATGCCGGGCCTCATCCGTCCTGGCATTTGTCTGAAACCCAGCTGTCTGTCTATCCTAGGCCGGGACGCACCCGGCCCTGGGTGAGTAGGGAGGGTGGGGGTGGGGTGAGGGCGGAGAGGGGGAGACCCGGGGTGGAGTTAGTCCCCTGCCTATTTTCATATTCATTAGAACTGGGAGGTTGCCCGGGGAGCCCAGCTGAGTTTCAAGATATAAAAGCAACTTCGGGTGCCCCCTTTCCAGCCGGGACGCATTAGAGGGTTGGGAGAGGGGCAGCTCCCGGCGCCGCAGCGCTCGCTTCCCTACCCTCCTCCGGGGCCCTCCCTCCTCCCGCCCACCCGCGCCTTACACCCCCTTCCGCCCTCCCCCACGCCCTGCTCCGCTCAGGCTCCGCGCCCCCGGAGCTCCGCGACGGGCTTTTCAGGATTATGGAGTTTCTGAGCGAGAAGTTTGCCCTGAAGAGCCCGCCGAGTAAGAACAGTGACTTCTACATGGGTGCGGGAGGCGCGTTGGAGCACGTTATGGAGACGCTGGACAATGAGCCCTTTTACAGCAAAGCATCGGCAGGCAAATGCGTGCAGGCCTTCGGGCCGCTGCCCCGAGCCGAGCATCACGTGCGCCTCGAGAGGACCTCGCCCTGTCAGGACGGCGGCGGTGAGTGGCGCGCGCCCCAGCCCCCGGCTGCCCAAGTACGGCACCGCTAGGGGACTGTCAGGGACGCCAGGACGGACGAGGGGGATGCGGGAGCGAGGAGGCACCGGGCGGAGACGGGGAGTGCAGCTGGGCGCGTGGAGCGGGAGCCCCGCATCCAGGATCTAGGCGCCCAGTGCTAGGAGCCTAATTGAGCTGGAGCGTGCGCCGCGCCCGCGAGCCTCCGCCGCTGCTGACGCGGGAGCGGCTGGAGTCGCCGCCTGTTAAAAGACGTCGCAGCGGTCACCAAAGATGAAAGGGTCAAGCTCCCTTGTTTGGCAAAACGAAAAAAAAAAAAAAAAACCCAAGCTTTTATTTTGTTAATTTTCTGAGGCCAGGGTCCCGTTCCCTCCCGGAATACAGGCTTGATAGACTGTTAATTAGCCCGTGAGAATTTGTGATTGTGTGCGCGCGCGTGTGTGCAGTACACCGCGCTGTGCGTTTTTGTTCAACCCCCAATCTCTGTAACTAGCTGCGAGCAAAGCGTCACCCCAAGGATCGCCCGGTCCGCGCTCTGCAAGGTCTGTTTTTCTGACTCCGAGCTAAAAGTCACTCCAGAAGCCTTGAGGCGCGCGCTTGGGTGGAATCCTCAGCTCTAAGTACCCAAGTATCTCGAAGTCAAAATGTTATCAAAACAAACCATCTATCTTTTCTCTCTGGAAACTCGGTGCAAACCTATTATTTCAGATCGCGACAGCTGAAGCACGTTTACAATTCCAAGAGGACTTTTCCCCTTATCGTTGTATATACTCAGTTAAGCTGTGAGGAGCGGGTGGCTTTACAATAACAAACGAATTAAGTGTGAAATATTTACAACAAGCCTCTCGTCCCCTAATTTAATGGAGGTTCAAAATTTGGCAAGAGCTTGGCTTGTAGAAACTCATTTTAAAAAAGCTTTTACAGAAGATTTTTTTTAAAAGTCTCTTATTTTACTAACGATCTCCAACTTTCAGATTATTTTTGATTTGTAAGACTAAACCAAAAATAAAAGCGCAGAAGATAGAGAAAATGACTTGTTTCCTTTATTTAGAAATTAGGCGTGATTTTTTGTTTTTGCTTTTGTTTTGGAGACACTAAAGTCTTGAGTTTCTGTGTCTATTTTTGGAATTCTCGGTTGCGTTCATAAAATTATTTGAATTGACAGGTCTTGATTTAATGGTTCTGCGAACTATCGCTGAGTGGGCAGTGCTTTGAACCAAGATGCGAAGGGAAGTAGGCGATTCTGGCATTATTAAGATTCTGCAACAAGTATCACGCCAGTAGGATGAGTTGTCCCGGGGCACGGTGGGCAGCCGTCCGTGCGCTGCGGGAAGGTCTTCTGCCTGCGCTCCCCTGGCCTCTCGGCTGCCTCCCCTCCCCCAGCCCTAATTACCGCAGTTCCCCCTTTAACTCTGCCCGCGGAGACAAAACCTTATTGTTCATCAGTGTTGGCCCTTAAGAGCCCCGAGTTTTACTTCACGTCCGTCCTTTGAGTGAAAGTTAAAATATATAGGCATCGTCGTAGACTCTAGTTGTGCCACGACGAACGCAGTGGTAAAATTGGAGTTGGGGGTAAGTTAAATATAGACGAGAACGGAAAAAAAAAAGTACGATTATTCATTGGAAAAGATTGTTCCGGCTGAGCTGACTTTTTACAGAAAGTGTCCTGTTTCATTGTGTGCATCTGTTGTATTTGTGTGTGTGGAACTCGGTGCTCCAGTTTTGTTTTATATCATACCACAAACATGCAATCAAATCTGAAGGAAATTACTGAAATTTAAACAGTCTTCAACAGATGCCCACCCTTTGTCATGTTTCCGTGTTTTAATTCCTCTCCTTTAGCAGAAAGATGAAGGTTCCTTCCCTGACACGTATTTCACGAGTTAAGAAGAAGTAGGAAATATTTAAGAGAGACTTGCAACGAGGTCTATGAAAATCTTTTCCATACAGCAAGCACTCCTAGAGATACGAATTTTTTTTTTCAATTCAGTTGATCGCTTTTTGAAAAAAAGGTAGAACACAGACATGGATATATAGTTGAAAGATTCTCAATGTTGTGGAATAGCGACATATTTAATCTTCAATCAACTCACTTTCCGTGGAGGGAAAATAACTTTCTCATACAGGTGTTACTTCAAATTGAAATGTGTTTTCTGAGCCATACATGTAGCTTAATTTTGTCTTCTACAATGGGTCTTTGACTTTATCCTGGTCCACTGGCAAAAAAAAAAAAAAAAAAAAAAATCCTTCCCCTCTTTTTCTTTTTTTTTTTTTTTAATTAAGCCTGGAACATCTTTTATTTTGACACAAATCTGGACATAAATTGTCTATAAACGATATGTGAACCCTGTAAAATACAGCTATGTGTTGTGCCAGATTGTAAGAGTTCCATGTACACATTTTACAGTGATTTTTAAATTTGTCCCACTATGAATTGCTCCTATTGTGATGATGCGATTGATGCTAGCAAAAGAAATCATTACCAGGTTGCTTTCCTGGTACACTAAACAGCTTCCACTTAATTCTTTCGTTGAGAAGAGTTTCATGCCTAAGAACCGTTCTTTTCTCCCTGTGGCTACAGTAAACTACGGAATCACTAAGGTAGAAGGACAGCCCCTCCACACGGAACTGAACAGAGCGCTGGACAACTGTAACAGTCTCCGAATGTCTCCTGGGAAGGGGATGCCAGAGAAGGGAGAACTGGATGAACTGGGGGACAAATGTGACAGCAACGTATCCAGCAGTAAGAAGCGGAGACATCGAACCACCTTCACCAGCTTGCAGCTAGAGGAGCTGGAGAAGGTCTTCCAGAAAACCCATTACCCGGATGTATACGTCAGGGAACAGCTTGCTCTGAGGACAGAGCTCACTGAGGCCAGAGTGCAGGTAGGAGTCCCATGGAAGCCTTCGGGGTGGGCTGGGAAGAGAAATGCTGTGACGATCAGAATGATCACATCTTGCCCCAGGGGAACAAAGTGAGGATGTGCGCAGATACAGCAAATTTCCTTTGTTTTATTTGCTCAGGATTTGCTAACTCACACACAAACACAATAAAAGAATACCTGAGTTACTGCAGTGGGCATAAAGTTCACAGTAACTAAAAGTAGCAGAATATGGTATTGATACTTTAATTCTTAATATTAGATTTTAAAAGTGAAAAACAGATCATCGCCATGCATCTAGTTATCGATAGATTTAATTTTGCTTTTTTTGTTGTATTTGCCATCGAGGTATAAATCAAGCATTTGTAAGTTATTTGAATAATAATCCATAAATTATATTTAGGATTGGGGTATAGTAAAATATGGAAGAATATCAGAAACCCACAAGTGTAATGTACACCATAAAATATATTCTTTAACATAACTGTAGCTCCTTTAGAGTTTTATAGCTCCTGCAATTGTCTATATATAATTCAACATTAATTTTAATATACAGAAAAATGATATGCTTTTTCAAAGTCAATTGGAATACTGATTAGAATATTGTGCTTATGGTGATTTCCATATATAATTAAATGCATATTAGTTTTATTCAGATTATGCATTATCATATTGATTATTAAATACAATTAATTTTTAGTGATTTGAAATAGAAAAATTATATTGAATAATTGTTCTACCTCTAGGGGTATTTTGTTTTGAGTGTGTGTGATATTCTTAAACTACATTTACTAGTTCCCTGGCAATAAGTAATAGTTTAAAATACAAGAGTCCTTTAGGAAAATGACTTTTTCTTTGCATGCATTTTTAACACATATTTTCAGAAACCATCAGGAAGAAGTGAATACAATAGCGAGTGATTTTATTCTGAGTGGAGTAACATTATTCCTTCTTGAGATTAAGCCATTGCAAGGCCCTTACATCATTAAAGACAACATCTGGTGGCTCAGGGATAACAAGCAGCAGATTTTTACTTGAATGTATAGAGCTAAATGCTTCTTTTATCTTAGTTCAGGAAGTAAATATATAGAAAGTGGATGCTGATGAACAATATTAAATTGTCAAGTAAGAACACCAGTTCCGCATCTATCTATCTATCTATCTATCTATCTATCTATCTATCTATCTATATTATTTTTTTTTGGTCTTGTGTCTATACATTCAAATTTGAATACTTATAACCATGGAAACACTGCATATCAGATCTTCACAATGTGTGTTTTCCCCTCAAGCTCTGATCAGTTTTTGTCTGAGAACATGTATTGAGAACTAACCTTAATCAAATTTACTCAAGCTGTTCTCTTTCCTGCTTTTCTCCTGTGATGCTAAGAAGATGGTCAAGGTCACTTTGTCAGTGGAGGCTGGTGGAGTGGGGGAGCGGATCCTCATTACTGAATTCCCTTAGTATATTTCCTGGTGCTTGTCCATAGAGACAGCAAGAATACCTGCTTTTGTTGTTACTATTTCAAGCCTTTGGCATAATGAATAATGCATACTGATGATCTGTGTGCTGGAAAGCTATACCAAACAGTATCCTGTGCCTGCTTATAATTGCGGCCAACTTTTCAAAGTGCCGACCTAAATTTGCAGGGTCTACTTAAATAATAACATCATAGCCATAATTGTAAAAGTGAAGTTTTATAAGAGCAGGATTCTATGAAAAAGACTGGAAATCTTAAGTAAGCTTTAATGAAAAGCATTTAAAAACTTGCATTTTATAGTGAATTTCCAGCTTCTTTCCTACATATTTTGCATTTTGAGCATTCTTTTATGTAGACTGGAAATTTCCCAGAGCTGCTCACATAATGCCCATTTGAAAATGAAGTATAAAGACTACACCCAGGGATCTTTTCTATAGTTTGTGAAAATAAGGTGTACGTGTTGGACACAATTTTCTGTACCTCCCATGAACACATTTAACTATTAAAACAAACAAGAGTGGATTAAATGGGTTCTTAGCTCTCTGAGGAAGATGGTTCTTATAAAAAATATTTCTTTTAATACATAACTAGAGAAATTGTTTAAGATGGCTTAGTGTCACAGTAGAGGCCATAATAATTCACAGCTTCTCTCAACACTTGGTTCTCTCTGCTTGAATCTTTTAGTGTTTGTACTACCTGTGTTTTAAGTTGGAGAAATTATTGTGAAAACACCTGAGCATTTTCCATTAAGATGAGTAAATGTCATGATTTATGTAATAAATGCATGTAGGTTTTAAAACCATAATTCAACCCGAGTTAATTCTATTTTACCTTTAGTCCTGTGTTCAAGATAATATGTAATCTGATTTTTGTCTGTTTCCAATTTATCATGCCATTTCCACTGCTGCCATGTGATATAGATGTTAACTTTCTGTTCAGATGTGTGCTATTATTGAAGTATATGTGCAATTCAGAAGGATCTTCACTTTGTAAAATGCTTCAGCAATGATTTTTAATAAACTAAGGTTATCAATTTGTCACATTTATGTTATAGCATAACCCTAAACTAAAAATTATAAATGTCTTTCTGACTTGCAACTTTTTGTTAGAGGAGCATGTAGAAATATAGGGAGTCTTATGAATTGAATTTGCCTTTGTTTTCCACAAATGAGAAAAACAGAGGCTCAGATATATCAAATTTGCTGAAACATCCCTGATCTTTTTTTATGTTAAATGATGTTGTCTCATGGACACATGACTTACCATATCAAAGTATAAAAGAAACTACAATTTGTGGACCCTTTCCTGACATGAATAGCTGCTTTTGTCAGTAATTTTGGTGACTTGGTTTACCTTTCTGGTTTGAAATCTTGGAGCATCCACCTTGCTTTATCTAGGATTCCTTAAGTAAAATTCTGCTTTTTTTTTTTTTTTTTTTAAATAGGTTTGGTTTCAAAATCGAAGGGCCAAGTGGAGAAAAAGGGAACGTTATGGCCAAATACAACAAGCCAAAAGCCATTTTGCTGCCACTTATGACATATCAGTTTTGCCAAGGACTGACAGCTACCCACAGGTATGGTAAACTACATAGAATGCCGATCAAGAAAGAGTAGATATGGTTTCTATATTCTTTAGAGAGTTAGCATAGGCAGTATTATGTCTGACACTGCATTCTAGAGTATAAATTTAGCCTCCAGAAGATATTTTTCTAGTTTAAGTTTTTGTTTTACTAAGCTCTTTATTTTATTGTTTTCTTTCACAATCATTCACTGAAAAATATTTCATGCTTTTTATTTCTTGGGCTGTATTATGCTTTGCAACAGCGAAAATAGTTTATTTAATAAGTCTTTTTACTCTACTTTTTAATTATTCATACACATTCCTTTATTGACATTTAAAACTAAATAGTTTCCTGGCATACACTCTCTATGGCTACTGTTTTATGAACTCTGCTGAAATCTGCTGTCAAATGTGGCCTCTTTAAATCCTGACTTCCTTGTAAAAATATCTTTCTTATATTGTTTTTTTTTCACATTTTACGTTGAACATTGTTCTTTGTGACTTATACACACAATTTTCAATTTTTAAAATTAATCATGCATGTTAAGACTTCTTATATAATGAGAGCTCTCTTTTAAAAAGTGCTAAACATTTCTTTTCATTTTTACTTTTAAAGACTGTTGCTTTTTCTTTTTCATTTTTTGTGATGTATGTAGATGGAATATATTTCTAAAATATTTTGTATTACTATTTTCTAACACTAAATGATATTTAGAATGATATCTGGTTTTATAAAGAACTGTATATACTTTAAGCAATAAGCCCAATTTGATTTTATGATCTTATTTAATGCCATACAATATAGGGAGCCAGTGTGAAAATACACAGAACATATATATTCTGGGGAATACCGTGATAGTTCAGTAACTTGATCAGCTCAGCCCTGATCTGCAGGATTTCCATTTCCTTTAGTCATAAATTCCTACCTCAGGAGTGTGAATTTGCTCCTCTTATGTGCTTTTTAAATGTTCTCTGTATGATCCATTAAAGTCTGATTTTGGAAACTTTACTTCTGTGGATAAATTTGACACATTTGCTAAGGTAATATCGTGTGCTAAAAAGAGTGTTAGAATTCATCTTGTTCTATCTTCTATTTTAAACATTAGAAACAAAACTTTGCAGATGGGTTAGGAAAGCAGGTGGCTCTTTACAGGGCTGTCACTAAGACTTCGCCTAGCAGATTTGCCAGTTCAGTATGGGAACCTTTTGTTCAAGAAGTATCTTCAAATGCCTTAGTTGAATTCTAAACAAAGTACTGAATGGATGCTTCCCTTCTAGCCTACAAACTGAGCCAACAGGGTGCCTATTGTACCCCTTATCTCTACAGTGTTCTAAGCAGGTCACATAAGTCAATTTATTTGATCCTGGAAACCACCTTATGAAGCAGGCATTACTCATTTTTTTCCTGCTTCTCAGATATGGAAACTAAGGCACAAAGAGGTGAGATATTTGCTCACTTTGCTTAGCAGTGAAGCTTCAGTTTGACCAAGCACAGTTTGTTTTCCAAGTGCAAGATCTTACTCCATTGGAAGAGAACAATAGGCTGCCTCATTCTAGACATATTTCAATAAGCAAACCTTGAATACATTACTATCACAAGAACCCACGACTCAAGTTACATTACTGGCGTCTGTAAACACATCAGGGGAGCAGGAAATATCCCAGAACCAGAGAAATAACATTAACGGATAATTGGCATAGCATACACTTTCAGCTAAGAACTATGAGAACTTTAGCAATAGTAAGATAGCATTTAAACACAACACTTGTTTATGACTTGCCTTTTTCTTTTTTGCATCGTGTTCTTTCAGTCCTCATTCTCTTTCTTTCACCTCCATCTTTATTCTCCTTTTTTTCTTTTTTGATGTTAGCTGTTGGCTGCCTTATTTCTGATTCCCCTTTTTTCTGCAGTGCAGCATAAAGCATTTAGTATTGGGCCTGTCACCAATTGAAATCTGTACTGTATGAGGTTCAATAAACATGGGCTTATCATCACTTTTTCCTAACAATATTCTGCTATTGTGTAATCAATCCTTGGAACTTTATGTATGATCCATTGCAGAACGAAGTAATTTATTAGTGAAAGGACAAATGGAAATGCTGCATCAAACTGTATGTTTGGTAGTTTTCTCACTTTATCAAGGAATTGATTGAAAAGATTCCTCCTACAAATCCTGGGAATTGTGCATAGTCCTCACTATGGTTTCTCCGTTATTGTGAACATTCGATATACTATCAAATAATGTAAATATGGGAATACAGAGATTATACATTGAAGTTATATTCGTCAGTGAAATTCATGAAAAATGACCAAAATTAATACCCACATTATAGGATATTTTTCTATGTTGATAACTCATTCAATGTTTAGTTGCCCAAATTTCTGAAATCTAATATATTCTCCTCACTGTAGAGACTGGATAAGGCTAGGGGATAAATTCTGCGTTAACTTAAAAATATGTAGTAGATATTTTAAGTTTGTTTGAAAAAAATATGCCAAGATTGTGTCTCTTAAGCTTCAACTTCAAGGAAATAATGTTTTATTACGAGACTTTTTAAAATAGAAATGCACAGTGGAAGAAATAGAAACTGAAATAAAGCCCAGTAACTCAAGGCAGTAAGACATTTCATTTGGTCACTGTTACTAATTATAGAAGGGAATTATTAATTACAGAAAAGTTGGAAACTAGAAAATGTTTGAGGCAGGACAGAAATGCAGAATTAACAATTTGGCAGGAAAGCAAAAACGTATAGAATACATGAGAAACAGAGATGTTCCAGAAACACCCTCTTCCTGTGTCTCATTGTGCCTAGCGTAAAGGTATCTATATATTCCATGTGATGTTTATTTATGAACCTTAATTAGTGCTTTCTAAGACATCTTAAATACTTTGTTTCAACTGGTCTTCATTACATTGTAGTAACCACAGTCATGACAGTAAAAATAATAATAATTAGGAGCTTATTTAAATCCAGGCATTGTACTTCCTCCATCAAAACCATTACCACGTTTAATTTGTGCCCAGGTTTTCTGAGGTCAAAATCTGTGGGCCTTTTTAAAGAAACATTATCTTCTTAATACATCACTGAATGACTAGCTCAGGTCTGACCGTAAAACATTGTCATTTTGGGGAAACAAATAAGAGTCCATTTTAAAAATGTAACAATGATATATAATACCTTAAAAACGTAGACACTTCTCAGATTCTTTTAAGATGTTTACCTGCTCATGGTAGGCAAGCAATGAGATGATGAAAGGTGTTACCTCTATAATCACACACTCTAAGGTATTATTTCTTGATTTAATGAAAATAGTACATTACACAAGAAAGTTCTTAGTGAGGGCATTTTACACTAATTAAGATGCCCATATCACATGTGAGAAAGTCCCAGCTCTTCTTCTGATTCAACTTCTAATACTGAGCTTGGGAGACAGCAAATGATGACCTGGCTCTACAAGTCCCTTCCTCCCCTGTGGGACACCTGGATTGAATTCGAGATTCCTGCCATCAGCTTGATCCAGCCCATGCTTTTGCAGACATTTGGTAAATGAGCAAGCCAATGCAGGATCTCTCCTGTTTGTTTCTGCATTTATTCCTTTCTAAATAATGCATGCATACATACATACATACATACATAAAAAATAAATCTTCAGTCCTTTATTTTGGCAAACATTGCCAGTTGCCTTTTGGAAACACTATGACTTAGCAAAATTAAACTGTTTCATATTTTTTGTGGTATGACAATTAGAAAAAATGTGTCATTTTTTATACGTAATCTGTTTCCTCTGTCTTAAATTTCCTTTTTGTTGTTGAAGTCATATTTTTTCCTGAAAGTCTCTGAATCCTGTTTTACTGAGTCCAGGCACCCTTTCATAGATACTGTATTGAACAGTTAAGATCTGCCTCCTTTTTTACAATGTAAGATATTTAAAAATATACCCCACTGCTTAGTCACCTGTGTAAGACATCAGTATTATACAGATTGCATAGATGCCGAATATCTGTGAATAAAAAAATACTTACTTGAATATTTCTCCAGTGGTATGTTTTAAAACAAAAGAATTAATCTTCATTAAAATAGCTAGTTTCTGAATCTCTGCTGCTAATCAACTCTGTGGTCTTAAGCAATTAACTTTTCCTCTCTTCCCTTCGCTAATAAACTAGAAAGTTTTGCAGATTTCTTTCATCTTCCAAATTTGCATTTTATCAACATCTATATGCCAAATAGGCCTACTTGATGTGGACAAAATTGCCTGTTTTGTAGATAGGTTGCAAACTAAATATTTGTGGTAAATTCTGCAGATAATTTCTTCTTTTTTAAAGGCCTATTATATTTGCAAAGCAGAGTGACAGAGAGGTGAGAGACAGAAACAGTGAGTTAGACATGTATATTCATTCCCGAGTTCACTTTCCAAGTGCCCACAACAGCTGAAGTAGAATCCATGTGCCAGGAATTCAGTCTGGGTCTCTCATGTGGCTGGCAGTCATCGCTTCTCAGGCGCATTAGCAGGACCTGTGTCAGCAGTGTGGAGTGGCTAGGATTCTAACCTGTACTCCCATCAGAGATATGGGCAACTAAAGCTATACCTTAAGCTGCTGTGCTGCAATGCCCTCCTGTCTGCAAAATACTTCTTGGTGCCTACTACATCCAGAACAGCAAAGACACTTGAAACTTTTGTATTTTTAGTGTACAAAGCAAGGAGCTAACAACATTAGTGTTTCTATTTTAGCAAAACCAAAGCACTCTTAAAAAATTAACTTGGTTGAATAAAATATTTTCAGTTTGGGAGTAATTATTTTCTGAAGGACAATAACAAACCTTGATTTTTAACAAAAAAATTGCTATTTTCATGTCCTTATGATTGATTTGGATTATAGAAGCATTAGCTTTATCAGTTGGTAACTTGTTAACTTTAGAGAAATCCCTGGACTTCCTTCATCTTAAAATTCTTTATTTGTACACAGGCAGTGTCATTGTTGCAGGTGTTGGTGCTATTGATGATTTAGATAA